TAAACTAGATTTTAATTCGCGCTTTCAAAACACGGAATTAATTTTCGGTGAAAATATTATATAATGGTATTTTCTCTTTATTTAAAATATACTTAAATATAAAATTTATAACCCGAAGTCCAAACAAAACCTAAACTACAAAAATACTGTCCATACCCGATCTAAAATATAAAAAAAAAATACCAGAAGGGATCTTGTAAGGTGATAGTGGTACAAAACAAATCAAAACCTGAAGCATTATTAGCCAACCCAAACCGAGAACCCAAAAAAACTGTAAAATTTTGAATAACCGATCTCAATGTTCAAATTAATCACAAATATAAATATTTTTGAAACATAATTATATAATTTGAATATCTAATTATATATTTTCGAGTGATATCTAAAAACAAATAAATAAATTTTACAAAGTATCTTAAATATTTTGACTCTATATAGATAAGTATTTATTTCTTATGTTTTGCTTTGAATTTTTGGATTAAACTTTGGAAATATCCGGACCAAACCATTATAAACCGTATTTTAACGGTATATGATTACTTTATGGTTTTAGGATGTGATACTAATTAAAACCAAAACCAATGTGGAATATCTAAACCCCAATCCGTATTTATAAATTTAACACAATGAGACTTAAGATGTGATATAAATTAGAACTAAAATTCAAAATACCCAATATGTATCCTAACGGATACCTGAACGCTCAAGTCTACCTTAAAACCTAATTTAGATGGTCTAGAAATTTTTAAAATTTTATTTACCCAAAATATAAATTGTCTATATATATATATATATATATGTGTGTAGAATATTCATTAAATTAAAATTTGTATAAATATAATTTTATGGAAATAAGATAATTATTCATTTATATAACTCACCTCATATTAATTTTAATTATATTCAAAAACTTAAAGCTATAATATGAATCTATTTATATGGGGAATTTGCCAAATATGACTCAAAACATGATTTTGATTGCAAATCCATACCCAAACTTGAATCAAATGCAAAACTAACCTAAAATCCTTGTGAAATTACAGCCAGCTACTTGTGACCAAACAAAAAAAAAACAAAACTCATTTTTACGAATACAGCTCCAGTAAGTAGTTTGAGTCGTCCGAGATGCTTGAAGTCGTCTAGAAGAGTTCCAGGTTAGTCTTCCGATGTATTTGATCTTAAAAATAATTTTTAATTTTTTAAAAAACTATTTTGACAAGTGAAAAATTGAAGTCATGTAATTATAAACAGTTTTAAGTGATGTAAATTAAGCTATAATAAAATTAAATTGTTTTCAACATAGATGGTGAAAGTAGTTAATCATGATATCTTTTGGTTTTAGGGGTTGACAACATATGTTGTAGTATTGTATATATTCTTAGGGTTAGACTTTGGAAAGCTTGAATATTTTTTTATAATTAAATTTTCACCTATATGTGTTTATTTTTGCGTATAGTAAACACTTTTTAAGTTTAATTTGATTTTATGAAGTGTATAGTTAGTTAACTAAGTTTAGGGGTTATGTTTAGGGTCTAGACGACTAACTTGTAAGTCGTTTGGTGAATAATTTAAACCAGACGACTTAGATGTAAGTCGTCCTAATATTTCCGCCTAAAATTTATTTTTCCACTTAAATATTTTAGTTTCCTACTAAAAATATTAAGTCTTTTGGACGACTTATAAGTAAGTCGTCTAAGTCAAAAATATTTAACTTAATTGGATTTTTTGTATCCCTATGTATAAAGAAAAATTTCTTATTATTTATTCTCCTCTCAAATGACTGCAACAAAAATGTAATGTTCATTATTCTAAAATTCTCCAACCCCTCTCTATTCTCTTTGAAATTATAAACACCAAACTTTATATCAATTTATTATTTTTCTCATGTCTTTCTCACTAATTTATCTTGTTTATGTAGGTTTTTCATCACATGATTCTCATCTTCGACTCTTTAAAGCTAGATCTATTAATTTTAGATATGTATTATTTTGTGTTTTATAAAGATAGATTTATCTAATATTTCACTCATTTTCTTTTTTTTAAGCCATTTGAACGTTTTTGGATATGTAGGTTTTTTAGATCTGAATTTGGATATGCAGGTTTTTCAAATCTGGAAGATTTCTGAAATGACTTACCTATTAGTCGTCTAAATTATAATGCGCTAGAAGACTTTCAGGAGTTACATGTAAGTCATCCAGTCGTCTGGTGAACAATTTAAAAAAAATTAAAATTTTAATTTTGCCGCTTAAATATTATTTTATTCAGAAAAAAATTACAAAATAATAATTGTTTACTAAACTAAAACTGAAAATTTAAAATGTTTGTTTGAAATTTTTAATTTTTACGTATATGTGTTTATTTATGTGTATAATAAACATTTTTTAAATTTAATTTCGTTTAAGAGTTATGTTTAGGGTCTAAACGACTTACATGTAACTCGTCTAGTGAATAATTTAAACCAGACGACCTACATGTAAGTCATCCTAATATTCCCGCCTAAAATTAAAAAAAAAAAAATCCCGCTTAAATATTATTGTATTCCAAAAATAAAAAATAAACTTAAAATTTTACATAATAATATTTTTTACTAAATTAAAACAAAAAAATAATCTAAGAAAAAAATCATTAATATTAATTCTTTAAAAAAAGAAAAAAAAAGAAAACTCTTGTTCACAAGGCTATTGGAGATAGGCTTCATTGCATCTTTGTTGACAACGATCTATTAAGGTCATAGAAGATGCAATTTTTCATTATCCTAAGCACTTTCATTTTTTATTTTATTAATTTGAGAAGAGTCTTTTTTGTAGGTATAAGGAGCAAGAGCGTGTGTTGGATTGTGTGAATGTTGCAGTGTGAAGAAAATGAATGGACCAAAATTTGTATTGAAACAAAGATACAAACAAAGCATAAGATCTTTTGTCGAGCTGATTATTAAACTTTGTATGTGGGACGTAGATACAACTTGATGTTCGGAGGTTTAAAAAGTGAAATCAAATGATAATTAACTTTGTTTATGGTCAAATTCTTATGCTTGATTGTAACAAGTCTCATTTGGTATATAAGATTAGATGTTTTTAGTTTTGTTTACCATATTCATTTCTTTTGCAAGATAACATTAGTTAACTGTCTGAAAACATTATTTGTTCTGATTCATACCAAGAAATATTTTTATCACTCTACCTAGTCAAGAAAACTTAGTAAAATTTACAAAAGATCAAACATTTCACAAATTCAAAAACTAACACAGAAGACACTAAACCACATAATTTGATATTCTTGAAGTTACTTAGTATTTTTGAAAGTTAAAAAAAACATATCTTGATACTTATCACTCTTTAAAAATACAAATTTTACAACAATTAACGTAGAGACTTCCCGAGAAGTCTTTTAAACGACTTCGTATGAAGTCTTTTCTTATTAACTAGAAATATTAACATGAAGGTTGGTAACCTTATAAATATCACCAATTAAGTTATAAATTTCATTCAATAACTCTAATATTGATTAATATACATGAATTAACAAGAAAATGTTAAAAATCTTTATAGTCTTAGAGAAAATGAAATTTTATTAAACATTGCTGCAGACGACTTCCACAGAGGTCGTCTGGACGACTTACTAAAAATTGTCCATTTTGGTTAGTTTTGCAATTGATTTTTAACCTAGATGACCTACATGTAAGTTGTCGACCTTTGTTTGATTTTCAACCTTTGTTTGGTGATATTTAAATTTCTCAGATATTTTTCAAAGAGTTTTGTAGATTATTACTGATTCTTTTATTGGAGATAATTATAACTTTTTTAAAGTTTATTTTCAAGTATCGCATTAGATTACGTCGTTTTGTTTTATAAACTCTTGTTCTGGGATTTTGTATGTTGTTTCACCATCATCAACGGGTAATACATTTTTGGATCGTACGAAGATTTTTTTTTTGGTATATAAAAATCTTCTGGTATTTAAGAGCATATTTTAGAGGTAGCATACTGCAATTTGTTACTGAGGAAAACAAAGATATAAGAACGTGATTGATATAAAAAAGAACGTGATAGAACATTGAGATATGAATTATAAGAAGAGATTATTTGCTCACATATCCTTTTTGGACCCTTAATTAGGGAAATACACATGATGTGATGGAATTAATTTTAATGACCAAAAAGCCCTTTGTCTCTCTCTTATTTTACTCTCACCACTCTCTCTCTCTCTCTCTCTTGACACTCTATTTTCTGACAGTCTCTCTCTTTCATTCGATTCACTTCTTCCCCATTCTCAAACTCTCCTATCATTTTTGTCTTTGTCATTCTCTTTTCTAAATATTTTTTCACTTATTCAAAAAAAAAATATATATATATATATATATATTTCCTTTGTGGTTTTGAAGAATAACTTTGATTTTTTATATTTACTCACTGTGATATGAACATTAAAAATTATACATTATCTATTTGTTAACAGAGACATTAACTGTTAACAATTTTTGTAGACGTTAACAGATGTGTTAGCTGTCAACAAATACATGTATCAGATGTGTTAACAGAGACATTAACTGTTAACAAATTTATTAACAGCTAACACTTCTGGTACATGTATTTGTTAACAGCTAACACATCTATTAACATTTACATTATTTGTTACAGATAACACATTTGTTAACAATCGGTGATTTTAAAGATATTGCAATGATGATTTTCTCAATCTGTGATGTAATAAAACAAATCAATACTTTGTTTCTTATGTTAAAATATATGGAAGAAAAAATGTGAAAGTAAAGAAAGTATAATAAAAAATAAAGAGATAAATAAAAGGAGAGAGAGTGTGGCTACAAAATAGAAGGAGAGAGAGTGTCAGCCAATTTTAAGAAGGGTTTCAGTGTCTAACTAAGACCAAATTGTACAAAACTTTAGAGTTATGTCAACTCATGTGTAATCCTCTAATATTGACCTTAACTTTGGGTATTTGCCTAATTCTCTCTTATAAGAAGGAGAGAGAGACATGTAAAAATGGACACGTTGTTGCTAAAGTTTATGAGAGAACAGAAGCTTCGTGAGATGTGATTTGTGTTATAGGTATCTGACTTCGAGAAAAACGATTCACCTATTTGAAAAGGAATGTTGAATTACACAATATTTTAAAGGGAAATTACTTATACTAACACACAATTTCTATCTAATGACTAGAATAACATACCTAAAAAAAAAAAAGAAGGTAAATGTGAGTTAAAGTCTAAAATACCCAAATGAAAAATAGAATTAAACAGGAAATATAACTTTTTCAGATTTTGAAAGACTCTACATAAGATAGAAGGTTTATTGAGCAAAGACAAATATGAAAAAAAAACAATTACTTCCCCGACATCTTCTTCTCCCCCGACATATCTTTCTCCCCAAAAACCTAAATCCCCAAACTGTGATTTTCAAAGTCTCGATTCTTATTAATATGATTCCTCATCAATTCGGTCATGTCTGTATCCTTTTCTACCACTAAAGCCTTCGATTCACATAAGGGTAGCGAATTCAAAATCTACTCGACAAACCCTAGATCCCCTTTTTGAAATTTTCAGTTCTGTCAAAGGTCGTATCTTCATTCACTTTTTCTCAGTTGTTTCTTTAGAAGTACAACCTCATCTCCTCTTGAAGCTATTCAATCGACCCAGAAATCGTGGCATCAAGGTGAGTCTCGTTCATAGTTTCTTTTGGTGTTTTTAAATTGAATGTTACTGCACCATTAAAGAACTCATGTATGTTATTTGAATTTCGGTTTCTGTATGTTACAGAGATATGACTACATCAAGCACTCACAAAACATATCCAGCAAGACTTTATGAAGAGGGAAAATGTCCACTGCAACATCGATCAATGAATCATAATTGTCACTTGGGTAATTTGCCGATGGTGGAGGAAGCTGTTGGCTTAGATGCGTGGGAATCAATTAAGGCATCTTCTGTTGGAGTTATTATAAGGTTGAAAGAGATGGATTATACATGGTCAGCCCAAGTCGTTCACCATATGTTGACAAACCAACTGGTTGTGGATAATATTCATGAGCTATGGTCTTTAATAGAAGGTCAGCCAATCAGGTTTTCGCTATATGAGTTTGGTGAAATAACATGTTTAAATTGTGAGCCTTTCGACATCAATGATAAGGTGGAGGTTGATCATAAGGCCTTTTGGGAAGAGATTGGTGTGTCTCCTTCACATGGTCCAATGCTATCTGAGTTGCGCAAATTGTTCCCTCGCATTAGGAATTGGTCATTTGAGAAGAGAAGAATGATTGGTTTACTTTGTGTCTTATCGATTGGCATATTAGGCATCTCTCCAGGTAGCAGGATTCCTTTGGAAGAAGCAAAGAGAGTCCTAGATGCAGAGGCATTTGACAGATACCCTTGGGGACGTGTGGGATTTTCCACCCTCGTTAATTCAGTAAAAATTGTATCATATGAAGAAAAGAAGAAATATACTCTTCGTGGATGTGTTCACGCGCTTCTTATCTGGGTGTATGAATCAATACCTGGTATTGGGCTTGAATATGGGAACCATATTGACAGTAACCAAGTTCCTCTTCTCTCTTGGTCTGGATCCCGTCCCCGGATACAGTGGGATCAGTTTTATAGAAAAGAGAAAAAAGCTTACCAGAAGGTTAAGTTTCTTATATTCTTGTTAACTCTTATTAAAAGACATCACTTGTAATGTATTCATACTAATGTTTTTACATGACTTGATTGGTAGGTGCGTGTCAGACATCTCATTGTTAAGGCTGAACCCAACATATACCCTCAATGGGATGATGACAATGTTGATGATGATCTTCACAACTTGATTTTAGACATTTTAAATGGGCAGCTTGATGATAAGCATTGGAGCTTGAAGACAACTAATGAACCAGTAGCAAACAAAAAGAAAAGGAAATTATCAAATGAAGAAGATGATAGGAAGGAAAAAAGAACAGCAAAGAAGACAACCATAGTGAGTAAGCTTACTTTATTTTTTACTTATATGTTTTGCTGAGTCTAATTTGTGAAGTCGATCTGGAATATCTGAGTTTAGTTGGTTAAGCCGTGCTAAATTTTTTTTTTTTTTTACTTGAGCTTATTGCTGAGTTTGTTTCTTGTTTTATAGCAGGTATGTGGATCCAGCCTTAACTCAGGTGGAGATGATGGATTTAGGCATGATCTACTAGAAGCAGTGAAGACGTTGACTGCAACGGTTCAAAATATGGACACAATTGTTGCTGAGAAGGTGTTGACTGTAGTAGACACAAAGATTGACGCAAAAGTAAATGCAAGAGTTGGTCAAGCCGAGCAGGTACTTGGCAATCAAATCTCAAGTTTACAAGAAGACGTTGCCAAAATTAGAGAGCAGATGCAAACTACTGCCCCCAAAAATGATGCAAACATTGTAAACCAAGAAGATGAAGTCAACAGCAATGACCTGGTTAGTGTTTTGCTTCTATTACAAGTATGTTTATTTTAAGTTAAAGTAACTATATAATAGACTTAACTTGTAATTATGTTTGACATACTCAAATAGTCATGGATGGTCCAAGACAAGACACCATTTGATGTTAATGCGGCAGTACAATGTGTGGTTAGAAAGAACGCCAAAAAATCTGAGGTCAAGGTAATGTCTCCTATTCTAGTTGACACTGCTGGTGAAAAGATTGCTGGAAAAAATCAAGTAAAAAAAACAGCTGGAGATTTGAAAAAAGTTAAGAAGGAGAAGAATGTAGCTCCAGAACTTAAAGATTCTGATGGAACATGGTCTGATTCAGAAGACAAGAAAAAATATGGAGACCTAAATGCCACCTTAAATCAGTTGATGGCATCACTCTTAGAAGAACCTTTGCAAAAACGCAAGCCACAACTGACGAAGACTCAAGTATATCCATATGTAGGTAACTCAACTGTGAAGAGAATCATTACAGGTGATGATTCTGTCTATGATCCCTTTGCTAAAGTTGAGGAGACAAAATTTAGAAAGCTAATGGATTATCTGCGAACTCTTGGGTAAGTGTAATGAGTAATCTCTTATGTGTTCTTAGTAATTCATTACTGTTTAACTAACTTGAGCTTCTTTTTTATTCGTCTCAGGGATGACGAAGTAGACACTCACTTCTACTTGAAGCTAATAACACCAAGAAATTACTGGAAAAGAGATGAATGTGGGTGGCTAACAGATTCTGTAAGTTTCTGTTTTTTTCTTCTATCAGCATGAAACCGTGTGGCTAATAGACACTCATTCTTTTTTTTTTTGTTTACAGCATATGGTATCTGCAATGCTTATGTTTCATAAAAGATATATGAGGGACCCTTCACCATACTCTTCATCAAAGATAGCGTTTCTTGAGCACTGGTTTGTCAAAATGTGGGTCAGAGACTACAAGAAATATGATCCTAAGACGTGGAAGTTTTCAGATACCTACAAGGAGGTCTTCAATGGCAATTACCCTCGGGAGTTTTCCAACAACAGAAAGTGGGTGAAGGATGTGGATCGCTTGTTTCTTTGCCACTTGATAAATGGTAACCATTGGGTCGCTTTAGAAGTGGATCTTGACAAGAAAATAATCCATGTTTATGATAGCATACAGGCTGTTGTCCCGAGCCACACAGATCTTGTAGAAGAGTGTCGTCCTTTCACGAAGATGATTCCTTTATTGCTGAATGAAATGGTTCCAGAGAGGAAGAAACTCAAGTGTACCTCTAAAAGCTTCTCGACTCCACGAGTTAGAGTTGTTTTCATCAAATCTGCATCATTCTTCCGTGCTGAAAACCAGCGCGTCATCATTTGCCTTATTGCTTCTAAAAGTCTTACAATCGGCAAAGTCCTTGCATCTGAAAGCACTTTGTTTATAGATTCAGCTATGTTGGTCGTAGTCAAGTTGTACCTATCACCAGGGAAATGAGCTCGTGCCCACTTTTTTACATCTGCTTTCTGCAAATAGCCATGCAAAGCCGGGTGCAGTGCTTTGATCTCATCGAATATTGTCTCAAAATCAGAAAGTCTGAACGAATTAGCTGCCTTTTTAACCAAACCAAACAACTCACGACCTCTAAACTTTAACAAGACATTCTTATACAAGTGGTAAGTGCAAAATCCACGGCTGGCAGATGGATAGACCTCAGAAATTGCATTGCCAATCGATTTGTGTCTATCAGAAATAATAGCAAGTGTTTCATCATCAGGTATCACACAGCTGAGTTGCCTGAAAAACCACTTCCACGATTCATCGTTTTCAGTATCGACTATCGCAAATGCAATTGGAAATATCTGGAAGTTGCCATCTTGTGATGACGCAATTAGTAGAGTCCCTTTGTACTTTCCTTGCAAGAATGTGCCATCGACCACAATAACCTTTCTCATGAATGGAAAGCCCTTGATGCTAGCATCAAATGCAATGACAAGATACTTAAATCATCACTAGAATCTACTACAAGGCGAGTGAACGTCCCAGGATTCGCCTTTCTAATCATGTGAAGATACACAGGTAACTCATGGTAGCCACTCTCTGCGGATCCCCTAACCAATTCTCTTGCACAAATCAGTGTCCGGTGAGCTTTCCAGTAGTTAATCTATCATTCACAATAGTAAGAAACAGTTAGATATATAAAAAAAAAAATTTGAATACACAAGTAAAAAAAGAAACCTTTATTCCAAAGCACATGTTGAGGGACTGCCGCACATGACTTGGCAAAATGGTTGGCTCCACTCCACCAATGAATTCAGTGTATAAAGATCCGAGAATCTCTGGTGTTGCTTGTCTGCAACGAGCTGATCTTTCTGTAACTGAACAAGTATGTTCAGAAACATAGATGCGTACGGTAAAGCGAGGAGTATCACTTGTTGGTGATGCTCTTAACTTCCAACTACAGCCTTTAACCCAACACTTTACGATTAACAGAGTCGGTGTTGAGTACTCGACATCATAATCAAATTGTTGCACTACCGTCAAGATCTGAAGTCGTTTTTGTAATGCAGACTTGGAGTCAAAACTCTGGCCAACAACTATATTTATCGAATTCAGTTGTTGCCACACATGTGGAATGACTACTGAATCCTTTTTTGATTTTTTCGCTGACCAAATCTTTGGCTTATACTCCTTCTTCATCTCTATATCTACTTCTGGAGTTAATCCATATGCTATAAAATCCTCATCATCTGATGTAGCACCGTCTGAATCATCGCAATAGTCAAATCGTTCTCCATCAGTGTCTGTGTCTTCATCGTGATTATAATGAGACCTCCATGCATAGACGTCCACGTTTTCTTCATAGCGACTATGTTTCATCGTTTTCTTGTTGCTTCTTAAAGAGACCTCCACGCATAGACGAACTTGGTCAGACTTTTGGAGATTGATGAAACCTTGAAAATCTGGAGAATTCCCAATTTTAACTGGAGGTGTGACATGAGTTAGCTTCATCAAGCTCTTCCTACTAAGCATGTAACTCAATTCGATAATAACATCGTCTCTGTCTAATCCGTAGTCCTCATAAACCATGGTAATCATATCTTTGAAGCTTGTGTTGTCTTTCACTGGAATTACTCTGCTTCCTCTTCTGCTATCAACGTGAAACATCCATTTATCTTTCTCGAATAACCACTGGCCACAAATAACTGTAATATCCATCACTGATTTTTTGGGATTAATGTGAGAGAATCAGTTGTGAAAAAGAGAAGACATCGTGACTTGGAGAAGAAGAAGTTTTCACGGCTAAACCTAGGTTTTAATAACTGGTTATGGTTAGTGGTCGGATTTTTTGGTTCAATTACTAACCCAAAATTTTTAAATTTTATTCCTAAACCGATTTTCGCAAATAAGTATGCCACAACATAACTCCTTAAAAGTCTGCCATAATTAGGTTAAAGTCTGCTAGCAGATAGAAGTTGGTTTTGTAAATATAAGCCTGCAACAAAGCATGCTGATTCAGAAAGTTTGCTATCTCATGAACTCGAAAATCTGCGAAATTATAAAATGTCTGTGACAAAATATGCCCACCATTATGAAAGTGTTCGAAATATTATAAACTTGTCATCATAAGACAAAAAATCTGCTATAAAAGTCTGCCAAATAAAAACAAATCTGCTATTGTAATTAAATCTACTATCATGTGTAGCAGACTTATTTCAGAAAGTATGTAACGATTTAAAGTCTGCCATAGTAAGTCTTTGAAAATAAATAAGTATGTCAGTTACGAATAAAATTGCCATCAAGTGTCACAGATTTTTAACAGTAGACTTATTTATATATTTCGAAATTTTTTTTTTTCTGTAAAAAAAAAATTTACAATTTTTTTTTTGTTTACAAAGAAAATAAGGGTATTCTAGGGATAAAAAATAAACTAGTAATTTTTTAAAAATGTATGTTATTCTAGTAATTATAACAGAATTTGATGTTATTCTAGTAATCTTCCCTATTTAAAATATAACAAAATTCAGTTTAATGAGAAAATCCTTGAGAATACATGGTCAATGTGAAATACTTTGATAGATATATTTTATGAAGAAAAACTTGTAAAATCCATAAACCAATAACCACAGATTTTAAGAGATTGGCAAATCAATATTTTCCAAAAAAAATGAATAACATAAGACTTTTATTAACTTTGTAAAATTATGAATCTAATAACACTAGATTTTAACATAGTTTTGAAAAGTCTTGATTGAATAACACTAGAGTCATTACAAATATAAATCTTTATAACTCTTTACAAATACATAATCCAATATTTTATATTAAATTATCTCCTAATATTTTAATTTAGATATATATATATTAAAATATAAATTATTTCTTATTTTAATTATCTTATTTAGCATTTTTCTTTAATAAGTTGAAGTATGTTGTAAACTATATAAATATATGTTATTCTGTAAATATAATTCATTTAGTTTATAATTTATGGGGTTTTTGCAAAACCAACCTAAAATTTCAAGTCAAACACAAAACCAACCTCTTTTTTTTTGTCCATTACTATTCACTCTTAAAAAACCTAAACTCTCCTCATGTTTCCACTTATTTACCAAATTGCCATTATTTTTAAATCTGATTTTATTTTCGAAAATTATTAAAAACCTATTACACCCTAAACATTTCTCCTNGATGAGCTCTTTAAGCTTGTGTTTATGAAATTTCAACCACTTATTTCACTTTCTAAACAAACAATACTTCATTTCCTCTCTATTTTCATCTAAACAATCCTCATAACTCTCATTTTCATAAACACAAACTTCATAATTTCGATTTTATCCACAAGTGGATCGTAAAGGTTGCTTCTTTTGCTCATATTTGGATTCTGGACGGTGGAAAAGCTTGGAAACAAGCTTTAAACCGGTGTCAAGGTAACTCTTTACATGTTTTTCATCATATCTCTGATCTGTATCGCGAAAGTAGACTGTATTATATGTCTACACATACGTGTAGACTTACGATGCAGTCTACTTGTCAACGCACAGGTTACTTTTGCAATTGACCAAAATAATTTTTTTTGTAATGTAGACCTACAAGTACGTCAACATCTTTACCTTTGAAACCAAAAACAAAAAAATTGGTAGACTTACTA